AATTAAATAATTGGATTAAATTTCCTGTATTAAGTCGATAAAGTAGATTTGATTTTATTGTGTCATCTGTCAAAACAAATTTAGAAGCAAATTTCGTCAAATTGTAATCAATTATTGTTAAAATTAAAGAATTCTTACTGTGAATATGTATTTAGTGCTTATCAATACAAAAAATTAATTACTTTTTATATCTCCGTGTATGTTTGCGTAATATAAACTAAATAATTTAGCTTAATTGTTGTTGTTATTAAATCTAACTCTTTTTCTTAATTATTTCAGGACTTCTACGCTTTAGATGGGATTTCTTCTATTCCTTTGAGCGGTAAGTCGATTTATTTGTTTTTAATTACTTTTAGTAAGGTGTTTCTAAATCTTACAACAAAATCAAATAATTTGTAATAAAATTGATATAAAAAAGTGAGGTTATTACTACTTTATTAGTCGTGACATCTATAGAAGAGAATTTAAAATAATATTTTTATGAAAATTAATTATTTCTTAACTTTAATTATTTATTATTGAAAGAATTAAACTAAAAGCTGCATAAAATAATTAATAAAAAATTAGAGAAATTTTTTGCAACTTAAAAAGAAAAAATCTATTTTACCAACGGTCGGCAAAGTAGATTCTTTTATTTTTAGGTGTTATTAATTTATTGAATATTTCTTTTTATTAATAAAAGAAATTGTTTTTTTTTACTAAAAAATGGATAATTTTGTTATTTTTGCAATAAATTATTTTATTAATTAAATAATTGGATTAAATTTCCTGTATTAAGTCGATAAAGTAGATTTGATTTTATTGTGTCATCTGTCAAAACAAATTTAGATGCAAATTTCATCAAATTGTAATCAATTATAGTTAAAATTAAAGAATTCTTACTGTGAATATGTATTTAGTGCTTCTCAATACAAAAAATTAATTACTTTTTATATCTCCGTGTATGTTTGCGTAATATAAACTTAAATAATTTAGCTTAATTGTTGTTGTTATTAAATCTAACTCTTTTTCTTAATTATTGCAGGACTTCTACGCTTTAGATGGGATTTCTTCGATTCCTTTGAGCGGTAAGTCGGTTTATTTGTTTTTAATTACTTTTAGTAAGGTGTTTTTAAATCTTACAACAAAATCAAATAATTTGTAATAAAATTGACATAAAAAAGTGAGGTTATTACTACTTTATTAGTCGTGACATCTATAGAAGAGAATTTAAAATAATATTTTTATGAAAATTAACTATTTCTTGACTTTAATTATTTATTATTTGAAAGAATTAAATTAAAAATAGCTGCAAATTTTTTGACAACAACCTAAAAAGAAAAAAATCTATTTTACCAACAGTCGGTAAAGTAGATTCTTTTATCTTTAGATATTATTAATTTATTGAATATTTCTTTTTATTAATAAAAAAAATTGTTTTTTTTACAAAAAAAATGGATAATTTTGTTATTTTTGCAATAAATTAGATTATTAATTAATAATTGGGTTAAATAATTAATTAAATTTTCTTGTATCAAGTCGATAAAGTAGATTTGATTTTATTGTGTCATCTGTCAAAACAAATTTTGAAGCAAATACATAAATAATTTAGCTTTAATTCTTTTTAATATTAAATCTAACTCTTTTCTTTAACAATTTTAGGACGTCACATGGAACTTGAGCGTTTTAAACGAGATTTCTTCGATAATTTTGAGGGGTAAGTCAATTTATCAATCATTAAAAAAAATTATTTATTTAAACTACAATTTCTCTTCGACGAAAGCTTTGTTATAATAACAATTTTCAGTATCCGTTCCAATATAAACATTAACATTTTCTTTTCCAATCCACCCCATACACGTCAAATTATCCCTAATCTCTAAATGCAAAGGTTTGTTTTTAATCAAAACGGGTCGTATTTTATTGGCAAAGAATCGATCGACTACGATATCCTCAAAAATCATTGCAACCCCAAAATTAATTAACCCCAATAAAAGAATAACGAATCCCGGATAAACATTTGGGGGTATTTTCATTTCTAAAACGTTAATTATCCAATTCGCCGGCCACAAAACCATGTAAGAACAAATAACCGTCATCAAAACCAAACTTATTAGTAAGTAATAATTTGAAATTAAAGGTTTTCTGTACGGTTTACCCTTCGAAAATACGATGGCCGTTATTATGTATTGAAATAAAGATATTGAGAAAACGGCGTAATTTTCAAACGAAGCGAAATAGTTTAATTTTTCCGTATCCAAAATGAAAGGTTCATAAAAATCGTACAATTGGATAACGAAGTACGACGTAGTTTGAAAAATAACGACTAAAATCGTGTGGATAATCAACGACATTAATGGAATGAAGCTTAGAAGTGATATGCAAGGTGGTTTCGTTGCTAATTCTTTCTCGTACGCTTTAGTGTAACCAAACAAAGAAGCAAAATTTAAAACCAAGCAGATATCGATGAATAAAAATTGTAATGAGGTTAAATTTGAATCGATACCATACAAGATTATCACCGATATCACTTCAGTTAAGCTATAACATAACATAAATTTAAAAACACCAAAACTTGTTACTAAAGCCGCCCTTCCTTCTTTAATTACTTCTTGTACGCAGGATATATTTGGAGTTTTACTTGTAAATGGTGATGCTACGCTCGCATCGGCTTCTGAGAGGCTTATTCCAACGTGAGCCGCTTTTAAAGCACCGCAATCGTTTGTACCATCACCACACATTGCTAAAAAAAATTTTGTAATATAATAAAAGCTTTAAATCGACTTGAACGATTATAATTCAAATTTTATCGAAAAGAACATTAAAAGTCCTTTAAAATGATACCAAACACGATATGGTTATGTTAAAAAACAAAAAAGTTATCACAGTTTTGTTTTTGACAGAAACAAGAAACAATTGAAGATCGTTTTCTTTAAACCCCCATAACTCCCTTATTTATTAAGATAATGAGATGGTGTTTGGACTTAAATTAAGCGAAATTTTGTGTAGATTTCGTTTTTTTAATAATAAATTTATTTTTTTTTAATATTATCGAAGAACTGTCAAAAATGAAATCTCAACAAATTTGATTTAATTTTAAGTAGATTTCTAATCAAGATCAATTTTTAAAATAAAAAGGGATTCTAATTTCGAATTAAAATCAAATTGCGGTTTTAAAGTTGAAAATGCAACTTTAATTTTATGACCATTCGAAAGAAAATGGAAAATCCTTTAAAATGATACCAAACTCGATGAGGTTATCTTTAAAAATAAAGAAGTTATGGCAGTTTTTCTTATGACAGAAACAAAAAACAATTGACGATCGTTTTCTTTAAACTCCCATAACTGCCTTATTTATTAAGATAATGAGGTGGTGTTTGGACTTAAATTAAGCGAAATTTTATGTAGATTTCGTTTTTTTAATAATAAAAAAGTTAGGTTAAAATCAACAATTATAACCGCCATCTTGAATTTTTTTTATTATTAAAATTTGTTTTCTTGGTTCATTTTGTAGATAACCCCATCGAGTTTGGACTCATTTTAAAGCATTTTTAATTTACTTTACGATTTTGAATGAATTAATTCTTTTTAAGAATATTTATAAAATCGAAAATTCCATTTTTATTGATGATAACGTCAAATTCGTAATCTATATTAAAATCCCTTTAATTTGATACCAAACACGCCATGTTTACAACAAAAAATAACGAAAAGTTAGGTTAAGACCAACAAAGACGTCCGCCATCTTGAATTTTTTTAAGATAAAAATTTGTTGTATCTCGGTTAATTTTTTAGATAACTCCATCGAGTTTGGACTCATTTTAAAGCATTTTTAATTTTATTTTTGATTTTATATGAATTAACACTTTTTGAAAATATTTATAACATCGAAAATTCCATTTTAATTGATGATGACATCAAATTCGTAATCTATATTAAAATCCCTTTAATTTGATACCAAACACGCCATATTTACAACAAAAAAATAATTAAAAATTAGGTTAAAACCAACAAAGACGTCCGCCATCTTGAATTTTTTTAAGGTAAAAATTAGTTGTATCTCGGTTAATTTTTTAGATAACCCCATCGAGTTTGGACTCATTTTAAAGCATTTTTAATTTTATTTTTGATTTTATATGAATTAACTCTTTTTGAAAATATTTATAAAATCGAAAATTCCATTTTAATTGATGATAACATCAAATTCGTAATCTACATTAAAATCCCTTTAATCTGATACCAAACACACCATATTTACAACAAAAAATAACGAAAAGTTAGGTTAAAACTAACAAAGACGTCCGCCATCTTGAATTTTTTTAAGATTGTAATTAATTGTATCTCGGTTAATTTTTGAGGTAACCCCATTGAGTTTGGACTCATTTTAAAGCATTTTTAATTTTATTTTTGATTTTATAAGAATTAGTTCTTTTTGAAAATATTTATAAAATCGAAAATTCCATTTTAATTGATGATATCATCAAATTCGTAATCTGTATTAAAATCCCTTTAATTTGATACCAAACATGCCATATTTACAACAAAAAATAACGAAAAGTTAGGTTAAAACTAACAAAGACGTCCGCCATCTTGAATTTTTTTAAGATTGTAATTAATTGTATCTCGGTTAATTTTTGAGGTAACCCCATTGAGTTTGGACTCATTTTAAAGCATTTTTAATTTTATTTTTGATTTTATAAGAATTAGTTCTTTTTGAAAATATTTATAAAATCGAAAATTCCATTTTAATTGATGATATCATCAAATTCGTAATCTGTATTAAAATCCCTTTAATTTGATACCAAACATGCCATATTTACAACAAAAAATAACGAAAAGTTAGGTTAAAACTAACAAAGACGTCCGCCATCTTGAATTTTTTTAAGATTGTAATTAATTGTATCTCGGTTAATTTTTGAGGTAACCCCATTGAGTTTGGACTCATTTTAAAGCATTTTTAATTTTATTTTTGATTTTATAAGAATTAGTTCTTTTTGAAAATATTTATAAAATCGAAAATTCCATTTTAATTGATGATATCATCAAATTCGTAATCTGTATTAAAATCCCTTTAATTTGATACCAAACATGCCATATTTACAACAAAAAATAACGAAAAGTTAGGTTAAAACTAACAAAGACGTCCGCCATCTTGAATTTTTTTAAGATTGTAATTAATTGTATCTCGGTTAATTTTTGAGATAACCCCATTGAGTTTGGACTCATTTTAAAGCATTTTTAATTTTGTTTTTGATTTTATATGAATTAATTCTTTTTGAAAATATTTATAAAATCAAAAATCCATTTTAATTGATGATAACATCAAATTCGTAATCTATTTTAAAATCCCTTTAATTTGATACCAAACACGCCATATTTACAACAAAAAATAATTAAAAGTTAGGTTAAAACCAACAAAGACGTCCGCCATCTTGAATTTTTTTAAGATAATAATTAATTGTATTTCGGTTAATTTTTGAGATAACCCCATCGAGTTTGGACTCATTTTAAAGCATTTTTAATTATCTTTATGATTCTAAAAGTTGTTTAAAAAAAATTCGATTTTTTAAAAATTATGTTATATGTTATAATAATTTTTAATTAAAATAACTTTTTAAATTAATTCTTACCAACAAAGTACCCCAAATTTTGTAATTCCAAAACTAACTGTTGTTTTTGATCGCTACTCATCCGAGCAAAAACCGTTCCTTGAAGCGCAACTTTTTGAACTTGACTGGGAAAGTATCGTTTTAAACATTCCCAATTTTGCCCCGTTATCGTTAAATTAACGGGTAAATCGATATCTTTACTCTAAAACAAAAATTTAATTAAATCAATTTATTATAAAATCAAATAATTTAATCTTACATGATTTTCTTGAAAATGCAAATTTAACTCAACATCTTTTTCGACATTTCTAACCTCAACATTCGCAACTTTCGAATTTTTCGCAATAATCCCGCATTCTTTAGCAACACTAATCGCGGTTTCAACATTATCTCCGGTAATCATAACCACCTTAACATCAGCATCTTTTAAGATCCCAATCATTTTCGCACTTTCCGGTTTTAACTTATTCTCGAATATCAATAATCCAATAAAATCTAATTGAGATTCAACGAAATTTCGCGCAAATTTCTCCTTTTCCCCGTTTAAGTGTTTCATTCCAACCCCCAAAACTCGGTATCCTTTCTCCGTGTATTCTTTTAAAACGTTTTGGGTCATCTCCGGGATCGATTTTTGATTCGAAAGGGTTAAAATCATCTCGGGGGAACCTTTACAATAAACGGTTTCTAATTTTGTTGAGATGTCTTGAGTGATGACGCTCATTCTTTGTAAGTTTGAGGAGAATTGGTTTTGGTGGATGTTTTTTAAGTTTGATTTTTCGTTAATTATTAAATTGGATTGGGTTAATTTGAAATTGGTCGATTCGAACATCTAAAATTAAGTTATTAATCGACTTAATTAAATTAATTTCGTTATTACTTTTATGTCGAGGGGATCCCCGGAAAGTTTCTCATCGATTATCGTTAAAGAGTGGCAACATCCCATCGCTTTTAATAAATCGGAGTCGTGATGAAGCGATTTTGGGTTATTCACCACGTTTTTTTGGATATTCTCTTTGGGGATTACCCCGAATAAATCTAAACCATCCTCAGTTAAAGTCCCTGTCTAAAAATTGACTCTTAAATTAAAGGAATTAATTGATTTAAAACGAACCTTATCGAAACAAACGCAATTAATCGCTCCGGAAATGTTGATGACCCTCGAATTCATACAAAAAATGTTTTTCGCTTTCAATCGATTCAACGCGTAAAGCTTCCCTATCGTTAAAGCTGCGGGTAAAGCTGGCGGAATCGTAATCGTGATAATATCCAAAGCTTTTATGATGGTGTCCCACGCGGCTAAATTCCGCGAGCTTTTCGAAACGATCGTGTAAACGAACCCCAAAACGGCGATTATCGCCAAAATCCCGATATATTTGTAACTATCCCTCTCAAATTTAAAATCAACCGGAGGGGGGTACAAAATGCTTTTAACCAATTCCCCCTTAGAAGTTAAAAACCCCGTTCTTATCACAACCGCTTTCACAACATCATCATTTCCATCTAAATTAGTATTAATCACAGCTTGGATGATACTCGTCCCCGAATACAAAGTATGATTACAATCCTCCTTTTCGTTATAAAGATTATTTGAGTCCTCGATCCTGGTTTTTAAAACGGGAACGGATTCCCCGGTTAAAGTCGATTCGTTAACGACGCAATTTCCGTTTAATAAGACGGCATCGCAATGCAATGTGCACCCGTTTTTGGGAATCACGAGGATATCGCCGGGAACTAAATCGATCGAGTCGATTTTAACGATTAAATTATTTAATAAAATTTCGACGTGATCCGTTTTGTCGACGGTTCCTCGCAGATTGTGCTGGTTCTTTCGCGTTTGGATGATCGACGATGAGATGCCGTACATTGACATTAAAATGATGGCGATTGTGTAATAATAGTATTGCTCGGCGAACCACACGATCAAACTGAATACTTGGAATATGTAGAAGGGGGTTAAAGCTTCGAGGATGAATAGTTTAAATATGCTTTGTAATGGGACTTCTATGGCGTTTTTTCCGTAAATTATTGATCTAAAAATTAAAAAGAATTAATTATTATAGAATCTCAATAAGAATCAAAAATGCTTTCATTTGATACCAAACTCGGTATATTTGGGTTAAAAAATAAAAAAGTTAGGTTAAAAACTGTCAAATGTCAAAGTTAAATATGATTTTTTGGTAAATATTGAAATTATCTTAATAAGAATCAAAAATGCTGCAATTTGATACCAAACATGATATGGTTCGGTTAAAAAATGAAAAAGTTAGGTTAGAAATTGTCAAATGTCAAAATTAAATATAACGATTTTTTGATAAATATTGAAATGATCTTAATAAGAATCAAAAATGCTTTAATTTGATACCAAACATGATATATTTGGGTTAAAAAATAAAAAAGTTAGGTTAGAAACTGTCAAATGTCAAAATTAAATATAACGATTTTTTGATAAATATTGAAATGATCTTAATAAGAATCAAAAATGCTTTAATTTGATACCAAACATGATATATTTGGGTTAAAAAATAAAAAAGTTAGGTTAGAAACTGTCAAATGTCAAAATTAAATATAACGATTTTTTGATAAATATTGAAATGATCTTAATAAGAATCAAAAATGCTTTAATTTGATACCAAACATGATATATTTGGGTTAAAAAATAAAAAAGTTAGGTTAGAAACTGTCAAATGTCAAAATTAAATATAACGATTTTTTGATAAATATTGAAATGATCTTAATAAGAATCAAAAATGCTTTAATTTGATACCAAACATGATATATTTGGGTTAAAAAATAAAAAAGTTAGGTTAGAAACTGTCAAATGTCAAAATTAAATATAACGATTTTTTGATAAATATTGAAATGATCTTAATAAGAATCAAAAATGCTTTAATTTGATACCAAACATGATATATTTGGGTTCAAAAATAAAAAAGTTAGGTTAGAAACTGTCAAATGTCAAAATTAAATGTAACGATTTTTTGATAAATACTGAAATGATGTTAATAAGAATCAAAAGTGCTTTAATTTGATACAAAACATGATATATTTGGGTTAAAAAATGAAAAAGTTAGGTTAGAAACTGTCAAATGTCAAAATTAAACGTAACGATTTTTTGATAAATGTTGAAATGATGTTAATAAGAATCGAAAATGCTTTAATTTGATACCAAACACGATATATTTGGGTTCAAAAATAAAAAAGTTAGGTTATAACTGTTAAATGTCAAATAACCGCCATTTTTTTTTTTGTAAAAATTAAGATATCTCAATAACGGTTAAAGATAAATAAGTCGAGTTTGGGTTCATTTTAAAGCATTTTTAATTTTCTGTCCATTTATGTTAAAAAAGAATACCTTTATAACCAAAAAAATCGTTATATTTAATTTTGACATTTGACAGTTTCTAATAAATTTTTTATACGCGGAATCAAAGACATGACATATTAGGTGGTGACATATTAAAACGTCATTATGCTTATATTTGTCATATTTCTAATTTGACAATTGACATTTGTGAGGTGACACATTCAATGTAATTTTTATTTAACTTATTTTTTTACATTCTTGAACATGTAAGATTCATTTGATACCAAATATTATACCCTTGCGTTAAAAAGTAAAATAATTGGTTAATAACTGTCAAATGTCAAAATTAAATGTAACGATTTTTTGATAAATATTGAAATGATTTCAATAAGAATCAAAAATGCCTTCTTTTGATACCATGCATGGTATATTTGGGTTGAAAAATAAAAAGTTAGGTTAGAAACTGTCAAATGTCAAAATTAAATGTATCGATTTTTTGATAAGTATTGAAATGATCTTGATAAGAATCAAAAATTCTTTAATTTGATACCAAACGATATATTTGGGTTAAAAAATAAAAAAAATTAGGTTAGAAACTGTCAAATGTCAAAATTAAATATAACGATTTTTTGATAAATATTAAAATGAACTCAATAAGAATCAAAAATGCTTTAGTTTGACACCAAACACGGTATATTTTTGTTAAAAAATAAAAAAGTTAGGTTATAACTTAAATGTCAAATAACCGTCATTTTTTTTTGGTAAAAATTAAGATATCTCGATATCGGTTGGAGATAAATAGATCGAGTTTGGGTTCATTTTAAAGCATTTTTAACTTTCTGTCCATTTATGTTAAAAAAAGAATACTTTTATGACCAAAAAATTTTTTTTTCGTTATAAAATCGTTATATTTAATTTTGACATTTGACAGTTTCTAACAACTTTTTTATACACGAAATCAAAGACATGACATATTGGTGGTGACATATTAAAACATCATTGCGCTTATATTTGTCATATTTCTAATTTGACAAGTGACATTTGTGAGGTGACACATTTAATGTAATTTTTATTTAACATATTTTATACATTCTTGAGATGACATGTGAGATTCATTTGATACCAAACATCATACCCTTGGGTTAATAAGTAAAATAATTGGTTAATAACTGTCAAATGTCAAAATTAAATGTAACGATTTTTTGATAAATATTGAAATGATCTCAATAAGAATCAAAAATGCTTTCTTTTGATACTAAAGATGATATGTTTGGGTTAAAAAATGAAAAAGTTAGGTTAGAAACTGTCGAATGTCAAAATTAAACGTAACGATTTTTTGATAAATGTTGAAATGATGTTAATAAGAATCAAAAATGCTTTAATTTGATACCAAACACGATATATTTGGGTTCAAAAATAAAAAAGTTAGGTTATAACTGTCAAATGTCAAATAACCGCCATTTTTTTTTTGGTAAAAATTAAGATATCTCGATAACGGTTAGAGATAAGTAAGTCGAGTTTGGGTTCATTTTAAAGCATTTTTAATTTTCTATCTATTAATGTTAAAAAAAGAACAGCTAAGAAAGAAAAGGTTACCTTGACAGAATTTTTGTGCTGTACATAAAATTTCTTAAACTTTAACAGAGATTTAAACTAATAAAAAACCTCAAACCTAGAGATAACTGCGCATTATAGATTACATTTTTTATAATTGAATAAATTTGACGTTTCATTTTGACAGATATGATTTAAAACATTTCGATTTCGACATCGTCTATTTAATTAAGCGTAAAAAATCCTTTAATTTGTTTCCAAACACGATATATTTTTGGGTTAAAAAATAAAAAAAGTTAGGTTATAAACTGTCAAAATTAAATATACCGATTTTTTGATAAATATTGAAATGATCTCAATAAGAATCAAAAATGCTTTCTTTTGATACCAAAGATGATATGTTTGGGTTAAAAAATAAAAAAGTTAGGTTAGAAACTGTCAAATGTCAAAATCAAATATAACGATTTTTTGATAAATATTTGAATGATCTTGATAAGAATCAAAAATTCTTTAATTTGATACCAAACACGATATATTTGGGTTAAGAAATAAAAAAGTTAGGTTAGAAGCTGTCAAATGTCAAAATTAAATATAATGATTTTTTGATAAATATTAAAATTATCTCAATAAGAATCAAAAATGCTTTCTTTTGATACCAAAGATGATATGTTTGGGTTAAAAAATGAAAAAGTTAGGTTAGAAACTGTCAAATGTCAAAATTAAATATAACGATTTTTTGATAAATATTGAAATGATCTTAACAAGAATCAAAAATGCTTTAATTTGATACCAAACACGATATATTTGTGTTAGAGAATAAAAAAGTTAGGTTATAAACTGTCAAATGTCAAATCGCCATTTTTTTGTTGTTAAAAATTGAGATATCTCGATGACGATTGAAGATAAATAGGTCGAGTTTGGGTTCATTTTAAAGGATTTCTAATTTTCTATCTATTAATGTTTAAAAAAAGTACAGCTAATAAAGAAAAGATAACCTTGACAGAATTTTTATGCTATACAGGGTGTGTCAAATGTCTGGAATATATGGGAAATGTTTCTTTATCAATTGTAGCGCATTTTTTGGCGATATTTGCTTGTTTACATCGTTTTTTGTTTTAAATGAGATGCATATGTTTTTTTTGCACATTTTAATGGAGAATAAATCCCTGTACGTGATGAACATATCAAATCATATGGTTGTATAAGAAAAAAATCGAGAAAAAATGCGTTCTCTGAAAATGTTAAATTAGCAAATTTACAATCAAAGTAGGCGCCGAAATAGCGCCGTTGACAGCTTTAAATGTCAAAAAATTGAAAACCTTCCAAAAAATGGAAAAATGGACTAATGACGAAACTACATTAAATGTATGTCACCGTACCCATACATTATTAATTATTCATAATTGTGGAAGCTGTCATTTTTTGATATTAAAGCTGTCAACGGTGTTATTTTGGTGCCTACTTTGATTGTAAATTACTGATTTAATATTTTCAAAAAATACTTTTTTCTCGATTTTTTTCATATGATAACGATTTTTTGATAAATATTGAAATGATCTTAATAAGAATCAAAAATGCTTTAATTTGATACCAAACACGATATATTTGGGTTAAAAAATAAAAAAGTTAGGTTAGAAACTGTCAAATGTCAAAATTAAACTTAACGATTTTTTGATAAATATTGAAATGATCTTGAGAAGAATCAAAAATGCTTTAATTTGATACCAAACACGATATATTTGGGTTACAAAATTAAAAAGTTAGGTTAGAAGCTGTCAAATGTCAAAATTAAATATAACGATTTTTTGATAAATATTGAAATGATCTTGATAAGAATCAAAAATGCTTTAATTTGATACCAAACACAATATATTTGGGTTAAAAAATAAAAAAGTTAGGTTATAAACTGTCAAATGTCAAATAATCGCCATTTTTTTTTGCTAAAAATTAAGATATCTCGATAACGCTTTGAGATAAATAAGTCGAGTTTGGACTCATTTTAAAGGATTTTTAATTTTCTATCTATTAATCCATTAATTTGATATCAAATTTACATTAAATTGAATTTGACATTTTTTGACCAAAATTTAAATATTATTCCGAATACGAATCGTATTTACCTTGAATTTCTTGTTAACTCGTTATTTTTATTATTTCCATCGTTCGATTGAATCAATTGAGATTTTTCCGCGAAATGATCGATTCCCATCAATTTAAAAAATTTCCCAAAGTCGTCGTCGTAAATGTAGCAGACTTTTTTGCAATAAAAACATTTCACGTTCGTCTCGCTTTTTCGTAATCCGTTGCTTAAAGTGAAACATATTGGGGATCTATAAAAAAAAATTAATAACTCATTGTTATCATAAAAAAATGGAGCATTATCTAAGTTTTATGAACAAAAACAAGTTTTTTTTATTAAAATCATAACTAGTCAAGGTTAGTTAAAAGCGGGGAATGCAAAAAACATAATTAACCTTTGAATGCTTTTACATGGGATTAATTGGAATTGTGGTTAAACAATTTTAAATATTTCTTAGAGTTGTTATTTTAATTAGAAAATTTAAAATTTATTGATGTTTGGTTTTTCTTTGATTCGTTTGAGTCACTTCAACTTAATTATCCAGTTTCGACATGGCTGGAAATAACTAATAACGTTATTACGAAACCCCCTATGTTTATTACGCAAGAAAATACACTTGGTTTTCCTTTTTAAACGTATTCGCGTTTATTTAAATACATTTATTTATAACTTACTTATTTTCTGTTGAAATATTTTGGATTTTTTCAACGTAATAAGTTTTATGTTTTCCTTTGTATTTATCCTTAAAACAAAAAAAAATAATAATAAAAAATTATAAAGCAAAAAAAATCGCATACAATAACCAAAATTTTCTCGGCTTCCTCAAAATTGGTGAGTTTGTGCGTTGAAAATAATAAAAAATGCGGATACCAATGATAAAATAATCTCAATAACCCAAAAGTGATTAAATAACCGAAATAGGTGAATGTTGTTTTTAAACGGTCCTTTTTGTATGGGGAAAATTCCAATGTGTTTTCGTGATCGTCTATGATTTGTCTGCATTTGGTTGTTTCTGTTGAGGAAAAAAAATTACAATAAATAAATAAATATAGAAAATAGAAATTAAAAAAAAAGTTATCTTTACAACGTACACTTAAAAACGTCAATAAACAACGTAAACCCGCATTGTTTTACGTAGTGGAGGTAATTATAATAAAATTAATAACTCGGCGAGGATTATGACGGAAATATTTTTAATTTTTACACTAAAAAAATCTTTTCTTGTTGTTGTTGGAGTAATTATTGTCATTAATGTGGTTTTATTATCTTATTACGATAGTTTACAACAAAGAAATTGATTTGTATGAATAAATTATCGTTTATTTAATTTTCGTTCAATTATCGTGATTTTGATCCAATAACAATGATTTAGTGCTTAAATAAGTATTAACTAGGTAGGCCGACTAAATCAGTGATAATAAGAACCAAAAATGCTTTAATTTGATACCAAACATGATATGGTTGGGTTAAAAAATGAAAAAGTTAGGTTAGAAACTGTCAAATGTCAAAATTAAATATAACGATTTTTTGATAAATATTGAAATGATCTTAATAAGAATCAAAAATGCTTTAATTTGATACCAAACATGATATATTTGGGTTAAAAAATAAAAAAGTTAGGTTAGAAACTGTCAAATGTCAAAATTAAATATAACGATTTTTTGATAAATATTGAAATGATCTTAATAAGAATCAAAAATGCTTTAATTTGATACCAAACATGATATATTTGGGTTAAAAAATAAAAAAGTTAGGTTAGAAACTGTCAAATGTCAAAATTAAATATAACGATTTTTTGATAAATATTGAAATGATCTTAATAAGAATCAAAAATGCTTTAATTTGATACCAAACATGATATATTTGGGTTAAAAAATAAAAAAGTTAGGTTAGAAACTGTCAAATGTCAAAATTAAATATAACGATTTTTTGATAAATATTGAAATGATCTTAATAAGAATCAAAAATGCTTTAATTTGATACCAAACATGATATATTTGGGTTAAAAAATAAAAAAGTTAGGTTAGAAACTGTCAAATGTCAAAATTAAATATAACGATTTTTTGATAAATATTGAAATGATCTTAATAAGAATCAAAAATGCTTTAATTTGATACCAAACATGATATAGTTGGGTTAAAAAATGAAAAAGTTAGGTTAGAAACTGTCAAATGTCAAAATTAAATATAACGATTTTTTGATAAATATTGAAATGATCTTAATAAGAATCAAAAATGTTTTAATTTGATACCAAACATGATATATTTGGGTAAAAAAATATAAAAGTTAGGTTCAAAACTGTCAAATGTCAATATTAAATATAACGATTTATTGATAAATATTGAACTAATCTCAATAAGGATCAAGAATACTTTCATTTGATATTAAATGCGATATATTTGGGTTAAGAAATAAAAAAGTTAGGTTATAAACTGTCCAATGTCAAATAATCGCCATTTTTTTTGCTAAAAATAAGATATCTCGATAACGGTTGGAGATAAATAGGTCGAGTTTGGGTTCATTTTAAAGGATTTTTANTTAAATGCGATATATTTGGGTTAAGAAATAAAAAAGTTAGGTTATAAACTGTCCAATGTCAAATAATCGCCATTTTTTTTGCTAAAAATAAGATATCTCGATAACGGTTGGAGATAAATAGGTCGAGTTTGGGTTTATTTTAAAGGATTTTTAATTTTCTGTCCATTTATGTTAAAAAAAGAATACCTTTATAACCAAAAAATCTTTTTTTCGTGATAAAATCGTTATATTTAATTTTGACATTTAACAGTTTCTAACAACTTGTTTATACGCGGAATCAACGATATGGCATATTAGGTGGTGACATATTAAAACGTCATTATGCTTATATTTGCCATATTTCTAATTTGACAAGTGACATTTGTGAGGTGACACATTCAATGTCATTTTTTATTAATATATATTTTATATTCTTGAGATGACATGTGACATTCATTTGATACCAAACATTATACCCTTGGGTTAAAAAGTAAAACAGTTGGCTAATAACTGTCAAATGTCAATATTAAATGTAACGATTTTTTGATAAATATTGAAATGACCTCAATAAGAATCAAAAATGCTTTAATTTGAGACCAAACAGGATATGTTTGGGTTAAAAAATAAAAAAGTTAGGTTAGAAACTGTCAAATGTCAAAATTAAATATAACGATTTTTTGATAAATATTGAAATTATTTCAATAAGAATCAAAATTGCTTTAATTTGATACCAAACACGCTATATTTGGGTTAAAAAACATAAAAGTTAGGTTAGAAGCTGTCAAATGTCAAAATTAAATTAACGATTTTTTGATTAACATTGAAATGGTTTCAATAAGAATCAAAAATGCGTTAATTTGATACCAAACATAATATGTTTTTGTTAAAAAATAAAAAAGTTAGTTTGGAAACTGTCAAATGTCAAAATTAAATATAACAATTTTTTGATAAATATTGAAATGATCTCAATAAGAATCAAAAATGCGTTCGTTTGATACCAAGCACGATGTATTTAGGTTAAAAAATAAAAAAGTTAGGTTATAATCTGTCAAATGTCAAATAATCGCCATTTTTTTTTTTTCCAAAAAACAAGATATCTCGATAACGGTTGGAGATAAATAGGTCGAGTTTGGGTTCATTTTACAGGATTTTTAATTTTCTATCTAGTTATATTAAAAATAGAACAGCTATGAAAGAAAAGGTTATGTTTTTTTTCTATGCGTCATTCAATTTTTTAACTTTAAATGTTACAACTTTATGAAAACTTTAAACAAATAAAAAAAAATCAAATCTAAAGATAACTTTGTAGTATAGATTAAATTCTTTGTAATTGAATAAATTTGACGTTTCGATTTTGACATCATCTATTTGTTATTAATGGAAAGTTTGATCCTTTTTTATACAACATACACCTTTTAACATTTTAAATTAAGTACATAATGTAATATTGATTATATTTTTCATTATTTCTTTTGATAAATAATGAAGTTATCTCAATAAGGATCAAAAATGCTTTCATTTGATATCAAACATGATATAGTTGGGTTAAAAAATAAAAAAGTTAGGTTATAAACTGTCAAATGTCAATATTAAATATAAAATTTTTTTGATAAATAATGAAATTATCTCAATAAAAATCAAAAAATGTTTTAATTTGATATCAGATACTATAAATTTGGGTTAAAAAACATAAAAGTTAGGTTAGAAACTGTCAAATGTCAAAATTAATTAGAACGATTTTTTGATAAATATTGAAATTATCTCAATAAGAATCAAAATTGCTTTAATTTGATACCAAACATGATATATTTGGGTTAAAAAATAAAAAAAGTTAGGTTAGAAACTGTCAAATGTCAAAATTAAATAGAACGATTTTTTGATAAATATTGAAATGATCTTGATAAGAATCAAAGTTGCTTTAATTTGATACCAAACATGATATATTTGGGTTAAAAAATAAAAAAGTTAGGTTAAAAACTGTCAAATGTCAAAATTAAATATGATTTTTTGGTAAATATTGAAATTGTCTTAATAAGAATCAAAAATGCTGCAATTTGATACCAAACATGATATGGTTCGGTTACAAAATGAAAAAGTTAGGTTAGAAACTGTCAAATGTCAAAATTAAATGTAACGATTTTTTGATAAATATTGAAATGATCTTGATAAAAATCAAAAATGCTTTAATTTGATACCAAACAGGATATGGTTGGGTTAAAAAATGAAAAAGTTAGGTTATAAACTGTCAAATGTCAAAATTAAATGTAACGACTTATTGATAAATATTGAAATGATCTTAATAAGAATCAAAAATGTTTTAATTTGATACCAAACTCGGTATATTTGGGGTAAAAAATAAAAAAATTAGGTTAGAAACTGTCAAATGTCAAAATTAAATATAACGTTTTTTTGATAAATATTGAAATGATTTCAATAAGAATCAAAAATGCTTTAATTTGGTACCAAACACACTATGTTTGTGTTAAAAAATGAAAAAGTTAGGTTATAAACCGTCAAATGTCAAATAATCGCCATTTTTTATGCTAAAAATTAAGATATCTCGATAACGATTGGAGATAAATTGATCGAGTTTGGGTTCATTTTAAAGGATTTTTAATTTTCTATCTATTAATGTTCTTAAATCGAACAGCTATGAAAGAAAAGGTTATGTTTTTTTTTTCTATGCGCAAGAATGAGCGGACTTAATGTTTATGAATTTTCGATCAATTATCATGGTTTTGAACCAAAAACACTGATTTAGAACTTAAATAAGCATTAAAAAATACAAAAAAATTAAAGTCTAATTTTAGGTTGGCAACCCTACATGTCATGTCATTTTATTGACAATTGATTTAATGATTTCATTTTAATCTTTTAAGAAATCTTTTTAATCGGTTATTAATAATAACAAATTGAGTTTTAATCAACAAATTCGTTTAAATTTATCAAAAACATTAATTATAATAATCGCAAAGGGGGAGATTTAAATAATTAATTAAGTTGGTAGCCCTTCCTTTCATATCGCAATTTTGACAATTCAGTTTTAAGCGATTTTATGTGTTTTCTTTAATAATTAATCATCGAGATGGGTTTATATCGCAAGATTTGATTTCTTTTTAGTTATTTCTGGGTGAGTTTAAGTGTTTTAGATGAAATTCTTTTCTTAAATAATCGTTTTAATAAAACGTTGGGGTTAAAGGTGCCAAAAAATTTTCTTCATATTCTTTTTAATCCTTTAAGAAATCTTTTTAATCGTTTATTAATAATAACAAATTGAGTTTTAATCAATAAATTCGTTTAAATTTATTAAATTTATAATAATCATATAGGGGAAGATTTAAATAATTAATTAGGTTGGTAGCCCTTCCTTTCATGTCGTAATTTTGACAATCCAAGTTTTAAGGGGTTATGTTTTACGTCATTTTAGGTGAGTTACACATTTTTACGATATTTTTATATTAACCTTTTATTTTGCTTTCCAGTTAGCGTTAAATAAACACTTCAAGAGTCGAGTCTTCTTATTAGCGGTCGAGTTAGGATCAGGTTGAATAGAAAATAAAAAAAACTCACCGTCTTTTTTGGACATAACAAAGAAACAAGTCTGGATGGTTATTTAGTTATTTTTTTTTCTTTATTTCGTTTCAAGATCCTCTCAACGCGATGACGATGACTCTTCTTTGCGGTTTCGAGTTGTTTTTGCGCATTCTCTCACTCACTACCCCGAAAATCCTTTTTTTTTATCTTTTAATTTGATCTGAAACAAAATCGTTTTGATAAAAATAAAATCTTAATTTAATCCTCGATAAATCCAATTGAGATAGATTCGATTGCATTTTTAAATCAATTATTTTTGTTATAATAATAACTTTCTCTTCCGTCATAACGTTATACTTACATTTATTATAATATTACTAGTATAAATTAAATAGAACGAATTTCGATTTTATTTTTATACAATTTGTTATAAAATAAGTCTCACCTCTTCTTTGTACGTCCAAAAACGCTTAATAATGTTTTTATTATTTAAGTTTTTGATGCCGACGACGATATTCGCGTTATGAGTGAGTCGAGTTGACTGTGCTGAGGTAACTTTTTGTTTGTATATAGAGTTTTCTCGGTACACGGTGTTCGTTTCGTTGTCGGGGACGCACACAGCAATAAACAGCAAATCGTTGCGCGCGTGGCTATAAACAATTTTAGAAAATTACAGGTAGTCATACTCAACGTTACATATTTACAATGAGATACACATGGGTGCACTCTGTTTTTGAAGAAAATCTATTTAACCTTGATAACAATTTATATCAATCTTAATATTGAATAATTTTTGACTAAATCAAAAAAAACCTTAACCTACTTTTTAATTATCTTATAAAAAAAAAAATAGCTAAGATAACAACAAAGTTGTTGCAATAAAATTTATAAAGATTTTACTTGATAAGGAATAAGGAGAATTAATCTGGTTTCATTGAACTGCAACAATAAAGTATTAAATGTTGATATCGCCGAATTAACACCGTAATCGCATTTTTTTTAAATTTTTTCGCTTCGTCGATAAATTGATGGAACTAGTTTAGACCACTCCTTTCTCAATTTTAAATTAAATTGAACACCTTTTTTAGATTGTGTCGGAGAGTGCGTTGTGCAATTCTACCGGGCGCCTCTAACTGTAAAATGAAACGCGTGGGTTTTAGTATATTACTTTATTTTTTTTGCTTCGCTTTTTCGTTTCTCTTTCACCTCATTTGCAGGCTTTATTTGGATTTGAATTAGTCATAAATGGAAAGCTTGATCCTTTTTTATTCAACATCTACGTTTTATCATTTTAAATTAAGCACTACCATATAATATTAACATTCTTTTTACAATAAAACAAACATTGACATATTTTGACATAAAATTGACATAAAGTTTGCTTCATTTTGGTGAAAACTGCATCTCGATATCTCCAATTTTTTAGTACTTTGCTCTAGATATACAGTGTGTTTGATTTTTGCTGTCACATCTGATATCTTGATTAATGTTGGACAAAAAGAAAGTTGCTCCGTATTCAATATTTTGTTATTTGCCATATTCTAAACGACTTCGAAGACATAATTTCAGCCAATACTTTAAGAAGACTTTAAGAATCGGCCGACTAAACCTCGTCCACTGCAACCACTTAAAACCGCCGATTACTTTACACAGTTGGTGTTAATAAGATCCAAAAATGGTTTAATTTGATACCAAACACGATATATTTGGGTTAGACAATGAAAAAGTTAGGTTAAAAACTGTCAAATGTCAAAATTAAATACAACGATTTTTTGATAAATATTGATATGATCTCAATAAGAATCAAAAATGCTTTAATTTGATACCAAACACGATATATTTGTGTCAAGAAATATAAAAGTTAGGTTATAAACTATCGAAATGTCAAAATTAAATATAACGATTTTTTGATAAATAATGAAATGATCTTGATAAGAATCAAAAATGTTTTAATTTGATACCAAACATGATATATTTGGGTTAAAAAATAAAAAAGTTAGGTTAGAATCTGTCAAATGTCAAAATTAAATATAACGATTTTTTGATAAATATTGAAATGATCTCAATAAGAATCAAAAATGCTTTCATTTGATACCAAACATGATATATTTTGGTTAGAAAATGAAAAAATTAGGTTAGAAACTGTCAAATGTCAAAATTAAATATAACGATTTTTTGATAAATATTGAAATGATCTTGATAAGAATCAAAAATGCTTTAATTTGATACCAAACACGATATATTTGGGTTAAAAAATATAAAAGTTAGGTTAGAAACTGTCAAATGTCAAAATTAAATATAACGATTTTTTGATAAATATTGAAATGGTCTCAATAAGAAACGCTTATATTTGTCATATTTCTAATTTGACAAGTGACATTTGTGAGGTGACACATTTAATGTAATTTTTATTTAACATATTTTATACATTCTTGAGATGACATGTGAGATTCATTTGATACCAAACATCATACCCTTGGGTTAAAAAGTAAAATAATTGGTTAATAACTGTCAAATGTCAAAATTAAATGTAACGATTTTTTGATAAATATGAAAATGAACTCAATAAGAATCAAAAATTCTTTAATTTGATACCAAACACGATATATTTGGGTTAAAAAATAAAGAAGTTAGGTTAGAAACTGTCAAATGTCAAAATTAAATATCATGATTTTTTGATAAATATTAAAATTATCTCAATAAGCATCAAAAATGCTTTAATTTGACACCAAACATGGTATATTTTTGTTAAAAATAAAAAAAATTAGGTCACAAACTGTCAAATGTCAAAATTATACGTAACGATTTTTTGATAAATGTTGAAATGATGTTAATAAGAATAAAAAATGCGTTCATTTGATACCAAACACGATATATTTGTGTCAAAAAATATAAAAGTTAGGTTATAAACTATCGAAATGTCAAAATTAAATATAACGATTTTTGATAAATAATGAAATGATCTTGATAAGAATCAAAAATGTTTTAATTTGATACCAAACATGATATATTTGGGTTAAAAAATAAAAAAGTTAGGTTAGAATCTGTCAAATGTCAAAATTAAATATAACGATTCTTTGATAAATATTGAAATGATCTTGATAAGAATTAAAAATGCTTTCATTTGATACCAAACGCGATATATTTGGGTTAAAAATAAAAAAGTTAGGTTATAAACTGTCAAATGTCAAATAATCGCCATTTTTTTTGGATAAAAATTAAGATATCTCGATAACAATTGGAGATAAATTAGTCGAGTTTGGGTTCATTTTAAAGCATTTTCAATTTTCTGCCCATTTATGTTAAAAAAAGAACACCTTTATAACCAAAATTTTTTTTTTTTTCATTATAAAATATAAAACTTAGGTTAGAAACTGTCAAAATTAAATATAACGATTTTTTATAAATGTTGATATGATCTCAATAAGAATCAAAAATACTTTAATTTGATACCAAACACGATATATTTGGGTTAAAAAATAAAGAAGTTAGGTTGGAAACTGTCAACTGTCAAAATTAAATATAACGATTTTTTATAAATATTGATGTGATCTCAATAAGAATCAGAAATGCTTTAATTTGATACCAAACACGATATATTTGGGTTAAAAAATAGAAAAGTTAGGTTAGAAACTGTCAAATGTCAAAATGAAATATAACGATTTTTTGATAAATATTGAAATGATCTCAATAAGAATCAACAATGCTTTCTTTTGATACCAAACATGATATATTTGGGTTCAAAAATATAAAAGTTAGGTTAAAGACTGTCAAATGTCAAATAATCGCCATTTTTTTTTGCTAAAAATAAGATATCTCGATAACGGTTGGAGATAAATAGGTCGAGTTTGGGTTCATTTTAAAGGATTTTTAATTTTCTATCTATTTATGTTAAAAATAGAACAGCTATGGAAGAAAAGGTTATGTTTTTTTTCTATGCGCAAGAATGAGCGAACTTAACGTTTATAATCCTTGCGTCATTCAATTTTTTATACTTGAAATGTTAAAACTTTTTCACAACTTTAAACAAATAAAAAAAACCTCAAACTTAAAGATAACTGTGCAGTACAGATTTAATTTTTTGTAATTGAATAAGTTTGACGATTTATTTTGACAGGTGTGTCTTAAAATATTTTGAATTCGACGTTGTCTATTTGATTAAGCGTAAAAAATGCTTTAATTTGATACCAAACACGGTATATTTGGGTTAAAAAATAAAAAAGTTAGGTTATAAACTGTCAAATGTCAAATAACCGCCATTTTCTTTTTTTGTTAAAATTAAGATATCTCGATAACGGTTGGAGATAAATAGGTCGAGTTTGGGTTCATTTTAAAGGATTTTTAATTTTCTATCTATTAATGAAATTAATTTTTTATTCAACATCTACGTTTTAACAATTTAAATTAAGTACATAATATAACATTGACATTATTTTTTTTTTACCATAAAACGCATTTATTAGCCGGATTCATATTACTATCTAACGGACAATTAAAAGCATCCGCAAACTCCGGCATGTTAGAAACTACACCGTTTACTCTAAATCTTCCGGGGGCATGATTACTAGTCTTGTGCATTTGTTGGAGATAATAATCAGTTTCAGCCATGCACCACATCTTAAACAATCAAAAAATAATATTTTTTATTAATTCTACCTACACATATATATTTTTTTTATTTACCGTTCCATATCCAATAAAAAACAACTGTTCGGTTGTAAAATTTGCGGTCGTTTTAATCGACGAAGACTTCTTCTGCAACTTTTGTAAAGCTTTGTAAGCTTGGCGAAGACCGCCGTTGTCGGCGATGTTCTCGTTTAAAGTTAACGACGAGTTAACGTACACCCCCAATTCTTCGATGTAATATTTTTGGTATTGTTCCAAAAAGCATTGGGTTTTTTCGTTGAAGGCTGCCTCGGTCTCTTCGGTCCACCAACCTGATAATACGCCGTCTCTATTGTACGATCGACCTTCGTTGTCGTAGCCATGGGTAATTTCGTGACCAATTATGGCTCCGATTCTACCATAGTCTAAGGTGCTGTTAGAAAAATGACAAAGAAAATAACGTTATTCAAATATGATTCAAAAACTAATTGAAGAAAGATAATGAATAAGAATTGTAGGAGACTAATTAACTTAATTTCGGTTATTTGTAAAGATAGCTCCATCTAGTTTGGACTCGATTTATGGCATTTTTACCGTAGACAACGATTTTTAATAAGAAAAGTTTTTTTAAGATAATTTTCGATTAAAAATTCTTAATCTCCACTAAAAATCCTTTAAAATGAGTACAAACACGACGGGGTTATCTCAAAAAATAACATTTAAAACAAACGACGATCAACTGTCAAATTATTTTTTTAAATAACGATATCTCGGTTATTTTTAAAGATAACTCAATCGAGTTTGGACTCGATTTAAAGCATTTTTACCGTAGATAACGATTTTTAATAAAAAAAAAAGTTATCATTATTGTTTTTATGTCAACTAAGGAAGAAATAAAAATACTTTATGACAATTTTCGATTAAAAATTCTTAATCTGCATTGAAAATCCTTTAAAATGAGTACAAACACGACGGGGTTATCTCAAAAAATAACATTTAAAACAAACGACGATCAACTGTCAAATTATTTTTTTAAATAACGATATCTCGGTTATTTTTAAAGATAACTCAATCGAGTTTGGACTCGATTTAAAGCATTTTTACCGTAGATAACGATTTTTAATAAAAAAAAAAGTTATCATTATTGTTTTTATGTCAACTAAGGAAGAAATAAAAATACTTTATGACAATTTTCGATTAAAAATTCTTAATCTGCATTGAAAATCCTTTAAAATGAGTACAAACACGACGGGGTTATCTCAAAAAATAACATTTAAAACAAACGACGATCAACTGTCAAATTATTTTTTAAAATAACGATATCTCTGTTATTTTTAAAGATTACTCAATCGAGTTTGGACTCGATTTAAGGCATTTTTAGCGTAGTTAACGATTTTTAATAAAAAATTGTCATAATTATTGTTTTTATGTTAACTAAGGAAAAATAAAAATATTTTATGACAATTTTCAATTAAGATTTCTTAATCTGCATTGAAAATCCTTTAAAATGAGTACAAACACGGCGGGGTTATCTCAAAAAATAACATTTAAAACAAACGACGATCAACTGTCAAATTATTCTTTTAAATAACGATATCTCTGTTGTTTTTAAAGATAACTCAATGGAGTTTGGACTCGATTTAAAGCATTTTTAGCGTAGATAACGATTTTTAATAAAAAATTGTCATCATTATTGTTTTTATATCAACTAAGGAAGAAATAAAAATACTTTGTGACAATTTTCGATTAAAAATTCTTAATCTGCATTGAAAATCCTTTAAAATGAGTACAAACACGACGGGGTTATCTCAAAAAATAACATTTAAAACAAACGACGATCAACTGTCAAATTATTTTTTTAAATAACGATATCTCGGTTATTTTTAAAGATAACTCAATCGAGTTTGGACTCGATTTAAAGCATTTTTACGGTAGATAACGATTTTTAATAAAAAAAAAGTTATCATTGTTGTTTTTATATCAACTAAGGAAGAAATTAAAATATTTTATGACAATTTTCGATTAAAAATTCTTAATCTTCATTGAAAATCCTTTAAAATGAGTACAAACACGACGGGGTTATCTCAAAAAATAACATTTAAAACAAACGACGATCAACTGTCAAATTATTTTTTTAAATAACGATATCTCGGTTATTTTTAAAGATAACTCAATCGAGTTTGGACTCGATTTAAAGCATTTTTAGCGTAGTTAACGATTTTTAAAAAAAAAAAGTTATCATTATTGTTTTTATGTCAACTAAGGAAGAAATAAAAATACTTTGTGACAATTTTCGATTAAAAATTCTTAATCTGCATTGAAAATCCTTTAAAATGAGTACAAACACGACGGGGTTATCTCAAAAAATAACATTTAAAACAAACGACGATCAACTGTCAAATTATTTTTTTAAATAACGATATCTCGGTTATTTTTAAAGATAACTCAATCGAGTTTGGACTCGATTTCGTTGCCAAGTAATTTGACAGTGTCTATACTCGATTTGAACCATTTTGGAGAACACCAATCAGCTTTTTCTATTTCTTGGTATCTTTGAAACACTTTCAAAACCATCAAAATCAATTTTATTCAATTTTTTCATCTTTACGAAGTATTCTGGAGTCATTTTTAGCGCATTAAAATCGTTTTGACTAACTCCAATCACCTTGTCTTATGTACTAAAATCTTTGAAACTTTGCAAAACCATCCTTGTTGCTTTTACTAACTTTTTTCTACTGTGCCAAGTAGTTTCATTTATAATCGATTTGAACCATTTTGGGAAACACCAATCATCTTTTTCTATTTCTTGGTATCTTTGAAACACTTTCAAAACCATCAAAATCAATATTATTTAATTTTCTCATCTTTATGAAGTATTCTGGAGTTATTTTTAGCGCATTAAAATCGTTTTGACTAACTCCAATCACCTTGTCTTATGTTCTAAAATCTTTGATACTTTGCAAAACCATCCTTGTTGCTTTTACTAACTTTTTTCTACTGTGCCAAGTAGTTTCACATTGTCTATAATCGATTTGAACCATTTTGGAAAACACCAATCAGCTTTTTCTACTTCTTGGTATCTTTGAAACACTTCCAAAAACATCAAAATCAATTTTATTTAATTTGTTCATCATTATTTAGTATTCTGGAGGTGTTTTTAGCAAATTAAAATCGTTTTGACTCATTCCAATCACCTTTTCCTACGTGCTGAAATCTTTGAAACTTTGCAAAATCATCTCGTAACATTGCCCATAGTTAACAAACGTCAATCTGCTTCCATTTGTGAGTGTTAGAGAATCTTTCTACTNGGGGTTATCTCAAAAAATAACATTTAAAACAAACGACGATCAACTGTCAAATTATTTTTTTAAATAACGATATCTCGGTTATTTTTAAAGATAACTCAATCGAGTTTGGACTCGATTTAAAGCATTTTTAGCGTAGTTAACGATTTTTAATAAAAAAATTGATTGTTGTTTTTATGTTAACTAAGAAAGAAATTAAAGTACTTTATGACAATTTTCGATTACAAATTCTTAATCTGCATTGAAAATCCTTTAAAATGAGTACAAACACGACGGGGTTATCTCAAAAAATAACATTTAAAACAAACGACTATCAACTGTCAAATTATTTTTTAAAATAACGATATCTCGGTTATTTTTAAAGATAACTCAATCGAGTTTGGACTCGATTTCGTTGCCAAGTAATTTGACATTGTCTATAATTGATTTGAACCATTTTGGGAAACATCAATCATCTTTTTCTATTTCTTGGTATCTTTGAAACACTTTTAAAACCATCAAAATCAATTTTATTTAATTTTCTCATCTTTATGGAGTATTCTGGAGTCATTTTTAGCGCATTAAAATCGTTTTGACTAACTCCAATCACCTTGTCTTATGTACTAAAATCTTTGAAACTTTGCAAAATCATCTCCGTTACTTTTACTAACTTTTTTCTACTGTGCCAAGTAGTTTCACATTATCTATAATTGATTTGAACCATTTTGGAAAACACCAATCAGCTTTTTCTACTTCTTGGTATCTTTGAAACACTTCCAAAAACATCAAAATCAATTTTATTTGATTTGTTCATCATTATTTAGTATTCTGGAGGTGTTTTTAGCAAATTAAAATCGTTTTGACTCATTCCAATCACCTTTTCCTACGTGCTGAAATCTTTGAAACTTTGCAAAATCATCTCGTAACATTGCCCATAGTTAACAAACGTCAATCTGCTTCCATTTGTGAGTGTTAGAGAATCTTTCTACTCAAACTACACGATTATCTGATATAGAAAAACTAAAGCGCATTTATTATTATTAACAAAAACATTTTGAATCCATTTTGCAAAACTGTTTCTTCATCTTTACCAATTTTTACACACAATCACAACGTTTTGAATAAAATTGACGTGACGTTTGGTTTTGGGTTACATTTTAGCTGTCAGATGTCAATGTTACCAACTTAAACTCAAAAAGCATACCACCCTAAATAGTTTCTTATTGAACATTCTATAAAATTATCATTATCATTTAATAAATCAAACTTAATTATTAATTTATTAATTAATTAATTAATAATCAATAATCGTTTCGGAGATAATTTTTATTTTTATTAATGTTTAAATATTAGAGGTGTTAAGAAGGATAGGCAACTTAATATACAAATCGCGTAACGAAGTGAAGTTTGACGTTGAACTTGTCAATGTCAAAACGACTCAAATGTAGTAAAAAAACTCGATTATGAATTAAAGTATCTTCGCAAAAAAATAATAAAGCATTAAGTTCAAGTGCCACTTTTACTTCAACCTAGGTATTACACCAGGATATGTGCCTAGATTACGGAAAATATCCCAAAATGGAAAACAAAAATTTTGAGGTTAGTTTATGGTTATTACCTTATATTTCCGCTGAAGAAAACCGAATTCAACATGCTTACCGGGAACACTAAAAAAATTACAAAATTCTAAATTATGAATTAACAAATTCAAATTGAATGCTTACAAATGCGATTATTGGGTCTATTATAAAAAGCGTTTACCTCTAACGGCGAAAGATTCCATCTAAACAACAATTAATTTAACTTGTTTTAAATCAAACTTATTTTAAAACTTACACTTCTCTGCTACGTTCTTTCTCAATCAACTCAAAATTTTTGCTTTGCTCAAACGACCTGGATCGTTGACTATTTCCGAAATGCTCCCAAGTACAAACCCTCAAATCATCGTAATACTCATCCAACAACTCCGCATTTTCCGCGTAATCCGGATACCCCAACAAAGTGTACATATACTCCAACTTCAACAAAGCTTCCCCCCTCGTTTTCGCGTCGATCCATTCGGCTTCTTCAAGCATATCCTCAAAAGCCGCCATTAAATCGTCGACTAAATCAGCGGCAGCCGATAATTTATTTATGTTAAAGTGGTACCTTTGGTACTCGTAAGTTAAAGCCATGCTGTAATCGATTCGATTGGGATAACCGATTATTTTTCTTAAGCAGTATTCCCAACGGGGGAAAACGTCGTAATTTTGTTTGCGGTAATAAGTGTCGAAAGCTTCCCGCATGAATTTGCTGCTATCGGGGGCCATGTAAGTGAAGAGGCGCACCATAATGAAATTTTTTAATATTCTTTGTTCCGTTTGGTGGAATAAATTTAAAACGCCGTAAACTAGGTAGGGGGAGTACATGATTTTCATTGAATCGACGATTTTTACTTTTGATGGTGCGAATAAGTTTTGGAGATATTTTATCCAGTTGATCTAAAACGATTTTAATAAATATCTAATTGTTGAATTAATTGAATCGTTTATTTCAGAAAGGGAGTAAGTAACGTTTTTATGTTTCTGAGATAAACAAAAAAAAAGATAATTCTAACTTAAAGATTAAAAAAAAGTATATACAATGTGTCCGTAAAGTAGCGGATATAAGCGATAAAATCCATTTTTATTGCGGAATATCTAGTAACTAATTATTTTAAACAATATCCTAAGTGTCAAAAAGTGGTTATTATTACAAAACTTTAATTTTATTG